GGATTCTGGAATAAACGATTGCCCGAAGGAGACGGTGCTCCCAGATGCTCTCTGTGTCTTTCCTGGGAGTCTCTTCACCATTAAAGGACGGAATTTGCCAGGCACCTTCATGGGGGCCTCCGTGCATCTGAAGAAACTGAACCGATGGATAAATAAATAAATGCACCCATTGGCCACAGACCTGGCACACTTTGTTGGGTCCCCACCTGGCTGCTCTCCTTCCTCCTTGCCAGGCATACAGGGGAACATGCGCCAGTCCGACCCAGCCAAGGAGCCAGCACAGACATGGGGGAGGAGAGGCAGGAGGCGCCCCCCTATTTTCCCAGCTTAAGGCCTCCCCTGTCATAGAAGACCTCCAGGGTCCCTCCCCATTATTCTCCCATTCATTCATTGCTAGTGGAAACAACCTCCGGGAACCAAAGGGAGCTTCCCGAGCAGGTGCTCATGTTGCCGTCCTGCAGGGGGCGCTTGACCCGGCTCTCCCTGTCCCAATCTATTCTCCGGAAGAGAGCATCTCCCCATGGTGCCCTTTCCACCCTCTAAAGCTGCCAACATGTGGGAATGAGACGTAATCTCAGGTCCAAGCTCCGGACCACAGCCAGTTGTCATGAAAACGCCACACACTTGTAGGCTAACAGCCTTTCTTCAGCCAGACTCTGGCACGCTATCAGTTCTAGCAGCAGCAAAATAGCTCTCGGTAAGGATGCAAAGTCAGCGCTGGGAGCTTTGGCCTTCTAGCACGCATTATGTATGCCCCCCCCCTCTTGCTAGCCTCCCCCCATTATCGGTCTTGTGTCAGCCTGCCCGCTTCGCAGCCGAGCCCCGTCGCTGTCTCCATCGACGCTGCAAAGGGTGGGTCGATTCATCTGCACTTACGACCGGTCTATGGGCGGTACGTTCTGCAGCTTGTTGTGGTGAGGGGGGGGGGGATGACGGCTTGTACTAGGCCCTCCCTGCAACTGTTGTATTGCAGCATCCTAGACAACGCGTCTGCCAGGAAGTTCCTCCCCCCAGGGATGTGCTTCAAAGTAAACCAGAAATAGGAAGCCCACCTGTTTGGGTGACCAACAGGGACCGGATGCCGCGAGGCTTCTACGGTCTGTCCACACCTCGAACGGCATTTTAATACCCTCCAGGAGGAGCCGTGATGGGGGTTGCAGCGAGGGCTGTAGCGTCGATGGAGGCAGCGATGGGGCTTGCCTGCAAAGCGGGGAGGCGCCGCAAGGTGAAGCATCCCCACAGACCAGGTGAAGGTGAGGGCCCCACCTCTACTGGCGATGGGCACTTGCTCTCCTGTCCTCCATGGTCCAGCATCATCCCCCCTGCCCCGTGTTCCCCGTGGTCCAGCAACAAACTCCCCCTGAGTCCGACACTCCCGTAGTTCAGCGTCTGGTTCTACGACCACCTGGTACCATGCAGCAAACTGGTGTGGTAGGCCCTGATAGGTACACACCTGGTGTAAAAGCCGGACCAGGCCCACCTTAAAATGACGGATCAGCAGGTACTCAGGCCATCCTCTCACCTTGTCGGCGGCCCTGTGGAAGTCCCAGAAGTAGCCCCCTGCGGAGCGGCCTCGTTATCGTAGCACAAGAAGCCTCCTGGTGTACTCTGGTCACGTCCTCAAACTGGGCCCCCAGTGCCTCCAGGAAGAGGCCAAGGTCCGCTAGTTGGCAGCTCTGCCTCCCTTCCTTGCTCTGGTGTAAGGACCACCTCTGCCACTTGCTCCACCGACGCCCCTACATCCGCTGCTGGAGCCGTCCCCTCTGCCATTCTCTCCACTGCTCTCCCACCACACCACGGGAAGAGAAAGAAGCAGTCAGAAGGATTTGGTGAGGAGCCCTGACTTCCTCTCTCAAAGGTCCAAACTCCGAACCGAATCCAGTTGTCATGAAAACGCCACATGCTTGTAGGCTAATGGGCTTCATTCAGCTGGACTCTGGCACACAGTGAGTTCCAGAAGATGTGCAGATGCAGTCTAGAGATGAGAAAGATGCCAAATTACAGGGCTTTTACAAAGAATTAATGGAATTAGATAAAATTCTAACAGGAACTGAAGAAAGATTAATAAAGAAACTGTATAATTACTTATTGGGCATAAAATTGGAAGAAGATCAAGTTAAAGAGACAATGAGAGATAGGCGAAAATTTTTGGCTATATGATAGAATTGGACAAATGGCAGAAACTGTGGAATAGGAATTATAAATTAACAATGTCAACTGCATATAAAGAGAATTATAAGAAGTTTTACAGATGGCATCTGCCACCAGCGAGGTTGGCAAAGATGCTTAAAGACAATTCAGGAAAAGTGATTTATTACTGGTCCCTCTCTGAATCTCCCTTTGTTAACTGGGATGGCAGCCAACCGCTCATCAAAGGAATAGAAAGACTTTTTACACTCCGTGATGGGAGAGATCACGGAAAGTCACGGAAAGTATCTTAACACTGAACTGTGAGTTTTGCTGTTAAGAATGCCTGGTAATAAACTTGGTCTGAAAGAACCTCCTAAAAGCATGGAGTTAAAACTGCTGCCCCCGCCAATCTACATCGCTGGGTCAGAACAATGTATTTTTACCAATGGTTGGAGAATAAAACAGGAGTTTGAAAATAAAGAAAGCTAAAAAAGAGAGATAAATGAGATGAAAACTCTTAGAATGTGTGTGATGAGAATGATGATGTTTAATGTTAATATGATATTATTACTAGAAGATGTTAAGAAGAAAAATGGAGAGTTTTACAACATTTAAATGCTTAATATATTATCATACTAAACTTGGGGAAATAATGTTAATATGAACGTGAAAAATGTGGCCAAAGAGGAACGAGGTTGCACAGAGAGGTTTGTACCCAGACGACACACGGCTTAAGGAATGATGGAAAGTTTATTTTTGTAATTAAAACGTAATAAAATTATTCAGGTGAAAAAAACCATGAGTTCTAGACGCAGCAAAACAGCCGCCTGTCAGGATGCAAAGTCAGCGCTGGGAGCTTCCGCCTCCCAACATGCGTTATGTACGTGAGCCAACCCCTCCCTCCTTTGCTACCCTCCCCCCCCCTCCCCCGTCATCGGTCTTGTGTCAGCCTGCCTGACAGGGCTCCGCCCGGGCGGTCCATGACCCAGAAGAGCCGCCCGTTGGGCAGAACAGCTGATCATCGCTTGGGATGGCGGCGGCTTTCCCTCACTTCGCCGCGCCTCCCCGCTTTGCAGCCGAGTCCCGTTTCTGTCTCTGTCGATGCTGCAGCCCCCGTAACCGGTGCTCTGCTGGCTTCTGTCGCTACGGTTCTGGCACCCCCCCTCACTCAGCAGTGGCTCCATCCCGCCCTGTTATGGCAAACCCCGGTGTTCAGAGTTTGACGCAACCTTTTTGCATTTCCTATTCTAACTTTGTCCTGAACCAAATAAAAAAAAGATACATAAAAAAGAACGCTTGGTCATCTCTACTGTTCCGGTCAAGTTCACCCAGGGCCCCCCCTTTATGAGCAGATGCAGCCCACCAATTTCATTGAGCACACCACGGCAACTGAGCTCGAACACAGCAGAATTTGTGGCTGGAACAGTAGAGTTGACCAAGCACAAAACTAAACTCTTCCGCCTGNGTGCATCTGAAGAAACTGAACCGATGGATAAATAAATAAATGCCCCCATCGGCCACAGACCTGGCACACCTTGCTGGGTGCCCACCTGGCTGCTCTCCTTCCTCCTTGCCAGGCATACAGGGGAATGTGTGCCAGTCCTACCCACCCAAGGAGCCAGCATAGACATGGGGGAGGGGGGCCTCCTGGCGTGTCTCCCCCTCTCCAGAGAGAAGCTGCCCACCTATTTCCCAGCTTAAGGCCTCCCCTTTCATAGCCAGTGCCTGGAGTCTCACACCTCCCTCAAACCTCAAATAAATAAATAAATTAAATAAATAAATAAAACTGGATAGTGAATCAACCTGTTTTTCTGTGTTTACACCACACACAAACTAACCACAGACCAACACACAAAGCCACAAAAACTAATTGAGGTTAGGAACCCCCCAATTTCTCCAGCTGTGGGACGCAATGGCCGAGAAGCCCCCAGCCTTCCCATTAGACCAGGATGGCCAAGGATTAAGTGGAGAGAAGCTGAATTAAAAGAACATTTTGGTGGCTCCAGATCAAGTGGGGGCCATCCTGGGGGGGGGGGGCATGTCTTATTAATGGCTTAGAAGGGGGGCAAAGGGGTCTCAGAGCCACAGAGGGCACCAGAAGGGCCACACACAGTTTGAAAGAGGGTTGGTGGGAGGGCTGCTGTGTGGGGCAAAATGCAGCCCACTCCCATCCAGAGGTCTGCACGGATCCTCTAAACATTAAGGGCGTCTTCAGCTTCAAAGAATGGATTTCATAAAACATTTTTTGCAAGCTCGGCCTGAAGCATGGGAAAAGGTCTGAGTAGGACAGAGCTGGAAGAGACCTTGGAGGTCTTCTAGTCCAGCCCCCTGCTCAAGCAGGAGAACTGATGCCTAGACTCTTCTAAAAACCTCCATTGATGGAGCACCCATAACTTTTGGAGGCAATATCTTCCACTGGTCACTTGTTCCCACCATAGGGAAATTTCTGCTTAGTTCCACATTGCTTCTCCCCTTGATTAGTTTCCATCCGTTGCTTCTCATCCTGTCTTCAGGTGCTTTGCACAATAGAGTGACCCCCATTTCTTTGGGGCAGCCCCTCAAATATTGGGTGACTGCTATCATTTCCTCCCCCGTCCTTCTTTTCTCTGCAGTAGCCGAACCTCTCAAACTAAATCAAAGGAGTTGATCCTACGTGGCCCTTTGTGACCATCATTTAAGAATGAATCAAAGCAGAGCAGCTCCAGAGAAGGACAGGGGCTTCATTAGACATTTTTATCCTAACTTTATTACATTATAAGGAACTCAGGGTGGTGAACTCACAGCCTCTCTTTAAGCCCAAAACCCAAAAGCCTGAAGATGGCGAGTGAGACCTCACTGAAACGTTGCCAAGACAATCTCAATCTTACACAGGAAAAGACCCGAATACAACAAGACCATATATTTTCAACACTATATGTGTGTGTCTGTGTGTGTGTGTGTGTGTGTNTTTGGGGGGGGGGGCTGCTCTTGCATGACGCAGCCCCCCTTCCTTGCTTCTCCTTTGGTGCAGCTGATCTCCGAAGCCAGGAGAGGGTGGGGGGAGGCTTCCCTCTTTCCTGCGCCTCCTCCCCCCCCTTTTTTTTCCTCACCCACCGGGGCAGCCCTCCTGGGGGAGGGGGGGCTGGGGTCCTGGAGAGACTGGGACTCAAGCCAGGGGGGCCTTCATGGGGCTTCACCGGCCATTGGCCTGAACCCAGGGCCCTGCTTTTCCAGCAGCAGAGTCTGAGGCTTCCTTTCAAGAGGGGGTGGGCCGAAGGGCAGGGGGTCCCCTGAGGCAGACGGGCAGGCAGGGAACACTGGGAGGGGGGGTGAAGGGAAGAGTCCGGAATGACAGATTTGCTCTGTTTCTACACATCTACCCCTAAAACCATCTGGAAGGGAGGGGTGGGTGTCCCCCCACTTCTCCTCCCTTCATGCTCTGCACAGCAGGAGCTCCTGTGTGGCTCCCCCCACTTCCAGGGGGGCCTGCCTGAATGGAAGCCCAAAATGCCCAAATCCAGGAAAGGGGGAGGGCTTTGGGGGAAGGGGAGGCCAGAGAGAGTCCTCTGTCTCTTATTCCTCCCTCCCTCCCACTCCCAGGTCTTCCTCCCTCCCCCCCCCCTTTTAAACCACCTATAGAGCTGCCCGCCTGTTGCCAACCTCCATCCCCTCCTTCTGCCCTGCAGGTTACTGCCAGGAGCCCCCTGAGGAGGGGCCTTGCAACAAGAAAACCTACCGCTGGTTTTACGACCCGAAGACCGGAGAATGCAAGAAGTTCATTTTCGGGGGCTGCGGGGGGAACCGCAACAACTTCATCAACAAGTGGACCTGCCAGGTGGTCTGCCGCCATAAAGGTGGGTGTGTGGTGGTGTGGGGGAGGGGAGGCTGAAAGGTGGGAGGAGGCCACGTGGGAAGGAGCAGAAGGCCCTGCATTCACGCCTTGAGGGCTGGGTGGAAAGAAGAGGAAGGGGGAAAGGACCCCCCCCCACACACTGCTCCACCCTCAGGCTGGGTGGGCTCCCCTCGCCCTTAAGCCCACCCCAGAAGAGAAGAGCCCTGTCCCCCAGGAAAGGGGGCTGGACTATGCCCAAATATAGAGTCAGATTTTGTGCAGCACATCCAACCAGCAGAGAATTAAATGAACTTCAGCAGGATTCAATGATATATAAGAAACCTCTTTATATGCAATATCAAGCAGCAGAATTCAGCATACAATTTATTTTGTTTATTTCATCAAGCATGAATTACGGTACATAACAGATATAAATATAAACATGATTCTGAATACATGAAATAAATATGAATACAAGGGAACATTAGGACAGGGATGATAGGCATATGCACTCCCCTTAAAGACCTCTTAGGAATGGGCTACAAATGGCTGCAAAATAGGAATAAAATTAATTAAGCCAAAAAACAATATATGTAAATACATTGGTTTCAGGAGGCAAAAAAAATGCTGCATTCAGTGTATAAGAGACACCCAGATTTTCAGCCTCCTTTTTGAGGCAAAATGGTGCGTCTTATACTCCAAAAAATACGGTAGATCATTTGAGATGAGTACTCCAAGGTCCTTGGAGCTTCCTTTACTCACGCCTGCGCTGGTCAATGTAAATTCTTCTTTATGCATGCACAGAACAATGTACAGTGAACTGTGCACGCCCAGTCACAAAAATCCAAAATGGCAGAGGTGAGGGAGCGTGGCAGGCCTGTGTTGCTGCGGCTTCTGCAATCCAGACCTGAATTCCACTACCGGTTACCATGCCTATTCCAGTCTATGAAAACTCATTCATACTCTGATATATGGGCACCTAGACTGACTGGGGGGTCACGAAGGCAGAGGCTGGAGCAAAGCAGCCCCTCACTGCAGGGGAGGGGGGGTCTCTCTNTGGGATGGCTCGGCCAGGGGGGGGGGTTCTCTTGCTCGGAGCCCGATTGCCCCCGCACCGTCTGAACCCGGACCCGCGAACAGCGGTCCTCCGTCCTTCGCGGATGCCTTGACGGGAGAAGGGGGAGACGGGGGCTAGTGAGGCTCTATTTCGGGGGTCCCGGTCTCGTCTCCCTTCGGGAAGGGGGCCCCGGCTTCCCAAGGACGCCGCTCACCCCGGAGTCAGCGCACTCCGGACGGCTGTTGGGAATTCCTCTGGAAGGGGCGAGTGGAGGGGGAAGGTCCGGAGTCAGCTCCTCGGGCGAGAGAGACCGACCCGGTGCAGAAGAAAACTTCGATGAACGGAGGGTCCCCGCCTTCCCTCCCTTTCCCCTCCCCGGGCAAACGCCGCCAAAGGGGGTCGCAGCCCGCCCGCCCGCGGGTTATTTTAAGGTTGTATTGATCAATCGATTGATAGATTGGTTGATTAAATGTCTATGCTGCCCATCACCTCTATAGGGTGATGTATAGGTTATAAAACCAAGTAAAAAATAATTACGTTACCGTATAATAACACAGTTTTATTAATAACATTAACCATTAACATCCAGGAACAGAGCGGGGTGTTACTAGGCTTGATACAAATATTGATAGAATTAGAGAAGGTAAGAGTTTGTATCCTCTGTGAGGTCATCTAGTCCACCCTCTAAGGAGTGCAGGAGGCTCCCTGACAGATGCTCCTCCCCCCCCCCCAACTCCGTTCAAACACTGCCATAGAAGGAGACTCGCTCACAGCTTCTGGATGGTGTCCAGGCCAGAGACGAACCAGCTGTTACAATGCGGGAAAACTTTCCCCAACTTCACCTCCGTCCTTACAGCTGAAACCTTTGTTGTTCTGTCCCTGTTCTGTCTCCCCCCACCCCTCCATGCAACTCAGGAGGAGCCAATCAGGCCAGATCTGACCACCCGCCCCGCTTCCTTCAGGTGGTCCAGTAAGATGTTGTGTGGGCTGACTTAGAAAACCACTTTGAGTTCTAACGGCTCTTCCTGTGCATGGACTGACCCACCAAGTCTCCGAATCAAAGATTAATATATTTGGGTTGGAAATTGTATTTAGAAACCTGATTCAGTTTGGAGACACAGTTGAATCTCATTGGAATTGAAGCTCCAATCTATACATTGGTGTGTTTTTTTCAGTTCTGAGTGATGGAATGGGGATGGGGGGCATGACAGTTATGTACTGAAGACAGTTGAGGGGCTGCCACAAAGCAGAGGGGATGAATTATTCTCCAAGGCACCTGAAGGCAGAGGACAAGAAGCAATGGGTGGAAACTAATCAAGGAGAGAAGCAACTTAGAACTGAGGAGAAATTTCCCGACAGTTAGAACAATTAATCAGTGGAAGAGAAGTTGCCTCCAGAATTTGTGACTGCTCCAACACTGGAGGTTTTGAAAAAGAGATTGGACTGGTCTAATGGTCTGGGGTCTCCTGCCTGAGCAGGGGGTTGGACTAGAAGACCTCCGAGGTCCCTTCCAGCCCATGGATTCTATGGGGTGCAGCACCAGCATTCTGGTGTGACGTTTCCCACTGCTCCAGGGCTTCAGGCTCACTGAGATTCAGCTGAAATATAAAATATAAATTTTAGCCCAGGAGCCAGAGGGATCCTCCCTGTGTCAAGAGACACTTGTGAAGCCCACAAGGCTCCGGATGCCAATTCTATTAGGGTGGGGGTCTCCAAGCTGGGCAACTTTGTCCAACTCCCAGAAACCCCCAGCCTCTATTCGGGGGCTGCTCTATCCCCACACCCACACCCCAGAGCAACAACAACTGAGCCAAGTTTGGAGTTTCCTGAACCTTCTCTCTTTCCAGCCGAAATAGACTGCAGCAGCGTCCCCAAATATATTCCCTCGTGTAGGGTCCCCAGAGAAGCTTTCTTCTACAACATCACCACCAAGAGTTGCCAGTATTACACCGACTTTGGCTGCGGCACCAACAGGAACAGCTACGAGTCCCTGACGGGATGCCAGGAATTCTGCGAAGAGGCTGGTGAGCCCGGCAGCTGGGCAGGGAGGGGCCATGGTGGGGGGGCAGGATGAGGAGCAGCAGGGGTCTTAGGGAGGAAGGGTCTCCTGAGCCCTGGTGGGAAAAGGCCCAACCCAGCTGTATGCCTCTTCTAGACTTTGGGGGGGGGGGCTGCTCTTGCATGACGCAGCCCCCCTTCCTTGCTTCTCCTTTGGTGCAGCTGATCTCCGAAGCCAGGAGAGGGTGGGGGGAGGCTTCCCTCTTTCCTGCGCCTCCTCCCCCCCCTTTTTTTT